ATTAACCTGTATTCCTGCCTGAGAGCAAATGCTGCCGGAAATATCTTTTATTTTCAACCACATATGTAATGTTGACATTGCAGGTTTTTCAAAATCTTGAAAGTGTCACATTTCTGGACTTTGACATTTATCGGGACGGTAATGCATATGCCTGCCTAGGACGGAAAAGCATTTTCCGTCCGGGACGGCAAATGCTTTTCCGTCCCCATTTCCCTGCTCGTTCCAAATTGATAATTTTCATACAGCTCTCACATATAATAATAAAACCACATGTATTACATGGAACTAATTAAATCTATTCACTTATTTACATTAATTGTTAAATTAGCATTGTTGTTTATAATGGAAATCTTGAGACCATCCTGTTGGAATTGTGTTTCGTTTGGAACTATTATCTCTTGCGCTTGCGGATGAGTTTCCGCATGTGATGTACTTGTGGATGCACTGGACAACTGAACACCTTTGGAAGTAGAGGATAGCATCAGAGCAGTCTTACTTTTGTTCTCCAAAGATGCCTCTATGTAGCCTTCAGCAACCGTGCTCGATTTCCACCCTCCCAGTCTTTTGAGTTGCAATAGATCGGCCCCGTTGTCAACCAATAAGGTTGCGGAAGTACGACGAAAAGCATGCCCTGTAAAAGTTTCAATTTTTGGAAGCTTCAAAAAAGCAGCTATTTTATGTGGAAATTTTGAGATTGAATGATAGCCAATTGCTTGGTTATGTAATTTCCCATTTCGCCATTGAACAAATAACCTGTCATTTTTCAAATTTTTCCGCAAAGTGAGGTATTTGTGGAAAATAGCAACCCAATCTGGATCGCTTATGATAAACGATCGACTTGTGTAAGTTTTTGTGTGTGGAATTTCTATAGCGATCTTTCCTTCCAAAACGTTGACGTGCTCCATTTTCATCTTGACTAGTTCATCGCTCCTACATGCACCCGACACACCAACAATTAGCGCTACCTGAAACCAGATAAAAATAAAATGGGTAACCTAGCTATAGCATACAGAAAATCATTTTGATTTTCGCATTTTTATCTTCTTTGTATATTTTTTGAAAACCTACCTTGATGCTAATGAATTCTTCAGCTGCCTTCGTGAGGAACTCGTTAATGTTTTCTCTGGAAAAAACGCTCGACTTTTTCGGCTGAAAGCCCAGATTTTGCCGCTTCAAAAAAGCTATAAGTTTTGCGTAATTGGAGATATCAACTTTCTCTTTCAATTTAATCATGGTTTTCAACATACTGTAAGTCGACCATAAAGTCGAAGGCTTCTTTTCCTTAGATAATTCGCCAAAATACGCCAACAAAACGGTCTCCGAGGCAGTATTTCTCGTTCCTTTCTGGCTACACCATGCTTCGAATATTTGAAAAGCCTTTTCGTACCGAAATTTGCTTTTTGCTGGAAGCAAACTCTCTCCAATCCTGTCTGCTGCTTCTTTTAATTCAGGTGGGGTACAATCCATCGCTTCATCTTCACTTTCCGAAATCATTTCTTTGGGGAGAACGGGGAGAAATCTAGTGAAAATCTATTATTTCCGCAAAAATACTGAGCGAAAACTACCGTCGTTAAGGCGTTGTTGATCTTATCTATGGTTGTTGATTTTGCGGTTTCCTGTGGTTTCGTCTTTTGTTTTGGCCTTTACAGGGCCTTTGAGATCGTCAAAATTGATGACATTGACAAAAAAAGTGAAATATTTTTTTCTAAGGCCAGTTTTACACTATATGAAAATTTCGTATAACAGAATCTTTAGTTTTTGCATCAGAAAATTAAGGGTTGAAAATAAAAAAGTATACAAACCTCGACGGAAAACTTCATTTCTGTCTCGAGGTTGAGTTTATCTCGACGCTTCGCGTCTCGATAAACTATAATAACCTCTCGACCAGCAATGAAGTATTTTCCGTCTCGGATTGTAATATACTATTAACAAATTATTAACAAATTGAAAAAAACGTAACACTACCCCCATCGAGTTATGCTCTAAGTAGGGTATTAGATTGAAGGTCTCGATGTCCCCTATCTAAAAAGTCGATCCTGCCTCGTGAGAACTTGCCGGAAAAGGTTGGCAGGACAGCTTATTGGGGCAAGGGCCCGCGGTCTCTGCTTTGACACCTATCAAGTTTTGCACTAAATGATGTGTCAAATTGAAGGTGTCAATAAGTTGATTTAAGGTCTGTACGCACAGAAATCACAAACCAGTCAGAGCGAATTTCATTGGTTGGAAACAGTCAGGAAACTAGTTTCAAACAATGAAATTCACTCCTTCTGGTTTGGGGTGTCTGTGCGAAGAGACCTTAAATCAACTTATTGACACCTTTAATTTGACACATCATTCAGGGCAAAACTTGATAGGTGTCAAAGCTGAGACCGCCAGCCCTTGCGCCAATAAGCTGCCCTGCCACCTTTTTCCGGCAAGTTCTCACGAGGCAGGATCGACTTTTTAGATAGGGGACATCGAGACCTTTAATCTGATACCCTACTTAGGGCATAACTCGATGGGGGTAGTGTTACGTTTTTTTCAATTTGTTAATAATTTGTTAAAAGATATTTCCGGCAGCATTTGCTCTCAGGCAGGAATACAGGTTAATAGATGCACATAATACTATATATTGATAATAGTGTCGACACATAACTCGATCGGGGTAGGAAAAACGCGGTCGTCTCCCTAACTAATGAGTTAGCTAAACAAATTACGTGTCGTGACGTTTCCTATGAAAATTTAGAAGGGTGTGTCCGTAATGCGAGCTCATTTATTGCCCAATTTCATGATAAACTCAATTAATTAAAAGCTCGAAGCCCGAAAGCCTGGTTATGGGGTACAATATTTTGAAATGGTATCCATAGCACTGGACTTTATTCGCGCTGAACTACTTGGACGTTTCCAAGATCATCTTGATGTAGTGCGAAACATGCTGCCGTATTTCCATGCTAGTGGTCACTTTTTGTATGCGAAATCTGCTCATTTATATCTTCAAGATATGATGAAATTGGAAAATACAATGGATGCACTGACATTGGATTCTTCACTGCAAGACGAAGAGAAAAATTCAATTTTGGCACATGGACAGATATGGTAATCGGACAAAGTCTTATGATATATATGAAGACAGAAGGGGGATTATCTCGAGGTCGAATTACTCAAGACAGCGTCTTATGTAAATGGGTGTATGCTATGTAAGCTACAAATACAATTTGTGAGGAGATTGATAAGTTTTGTACTATTGCGTTAGATTTTGCTGAACAACATGTTGATTCACGAGATTCAAGAGGGAAAAGGGATGCCACTGATGTACATAAACTAATTGAATGGCTTACACTTCATGATCTCCTTTAGCCCTATACAACAATTATATCAAAATTGGATACGCCTCTTACTTGCCCTATATAATGCTCCAAAATCTGAGGACAATCTCGATCATCTTTGATATAATCATTTCGTCAAATCTACAAAGCTCCATAAACCTGTGCAATTATCTAATCTTCCACTGATAACTGCAGCAGCTCATCATGGTTAGGCCATGATTTAGAACCCCAGCAATGATGTTGGATGCAGCCAATGAATGCAGCAAATTCAATCCTATTTCTTGAGAAAGCGACCCCAAGGAAGAGCGCGCCTTTGACACAGACATTGTAGAAGCTTTGGAAACGACGATGGAGGACAACGCAGATGATGGCAATGAAACCGACATGTTTCATCGCCCGGAAGATGACGACTATGAAGAAGAAGACGAAGCGAAATAATACTTTTGTCCTTTAAATTATACAGCTGCTGAATAGAGACACAATCCAAATATACAGTGTGCGCCATAAAGTTGGGTACAATATGGGAAAATTCTTAATTATTCCTTTTTTCAAAAAACTTTTTTTGGGGATCGTTAGGGCATGTTCGATAACCAAAAAATCTTGTATGTACTCGCTGTATTTCTTAATTGAACTTCCACTTTAGATAAATTAAATCAAAATCCAAAATATACAATACGTATTTTATTTATTGACTTTTTGATTAGACGCAGTAGGTAAGTATGATGATTTGCTGGCTCAATATCCCCAAGGATAAGGCCAAGAAACGGAGAAGAAGAAGTTAAGTATGATCAAATAAATATATTAGATATCTATATGTAAAGTGTTATTATACAATATATTATGATGTAAAAACTGTATTTAACCAAGAATCACTGGTAATCTTGGATTGTTAAGCGCTGCGCGGTTGCCGCCCCCTAACTTAAAAACGGTTGAGCGCATGAAAAAATGTTTGGAACAAAAGTTGTCGTAAATTTTATAATCTACAATTTTTATAATAGATGTTAAAATCATTGGACTTATAGAAACCGAGATAATCGCGAAACCGATTATTGTGACCTTTGATCTGACATAACTTACGACACGCACACCTGATTTTATTAGACTTTTGGGCCAACTTCAAGAATGGCCAATTGAAGGTGTGTACGAGTCTACAGCTTGTTTCCCCCCAATTGGAGAATGGCCCCTCATCTTTGTTAAATTTTGCGCTGTATCTCATCTCAGTTTAGTAGAGCAATATAAGTACCTAAGACCAAATTTGGAGCAAATTTAATGATCTGTAACTTTTTTAATAAGAAATTCTTGAAAAAGTTGACCGATTTTGAGATAATGATAAACGCATTTCTGACCTTTGACCCTCCGTCACGGCCCAAATAATCAACTATTAGAACGTCAAAATGAAGGTGTGCCAATTTTCAGCTTCTTACCTCAAAATTGGTAAGTGAAACCACAACGTGACTGGATTAAGTTCAAGTTTACCTTACATACAGGAGATGTGAGAGGAAAAAATTCCAAGCCACGGTATATGATGACTATTCGGATCTATGAATCTAAATATTGTTATTCAATTGACAATTTTAAATCCATTATCAACCAACTCGATAGACGTTTTTATTTATCTATGAACAGTCACAGACCGAACATTTACCAAGAAGATTCAAAGAGAATTGTTACGAACAAATTGATAATAATCTTTACCGTTCCAAAACCATGAATATCCAGAACTGCAGCGTTGGCGTTTAATGGTCTCAAAATAAAAGAAATTGCATCCAATTTTTGCCCCGTCTTCATTCGTGAAAGTGGCATTGAGACTTGTAGGGATCCGTTACCGTTAAACCATGCTTTATCCAATTCAAGCTAAAATTATTATAACAATTGTAATGAAATCATAAAAAGAAAATTAATATCTTATACCTCTCCAGTTTTTGGAGTTACTCCCGATGCAATCAATTCATTGCTAAGCTGGGCTTGGTGACTCAGGAATCCAAGGAACGATGTGGTTTTTATATTTAGTAAATTTCGGTCCAATGAAGGGGCTATGCCTCCCAGAAAATGTTTGGCTTTTTTGATTCTAAAATAACCATATTTGTTATGAAGAACTAAATTCTAACAAATTGCATAAGTGTGTTACCTAAACACAGCTTTATTGTCCAACTGCTCTCTAGTCGATTGTTTATTTTTGTCAGTGTCCAAAGTATAATATTGTATTTTTCTTGCATATTCCATAGCGATTTCAGCAAAGTACGTTCTGCCATCATTGAATTTGTCCAATGTTTTTAACACAACAGTTTTCCCATTATTGTGACATACGTCTAGACGAATACGACCATCTTCTAAAGTTAGTGCAATAAAAGCTGATGGATTCTATAGAAAAAAACAATTTAATAAATAAATAAATTCGATACTTTTACTTACATCAGTTTCTTGTGCTAAATAAATCAAACTATTTTCGTCAAACGTGGAAAAATAGAATCGCATGGCAAATCTTGCAGGCGTAAGTGGACCCAATCCGTATTTAGTGTAACCGTTTCCAGAGTAAAACGGTCTGGCCCCATCCAGCTCTTTGCTGTTAACTCTGGCTTGTCCTTTGCATTTTCCGAAAGTCTGTGCGAATTTCCACAAGCCAACATTTTTATCATTTATAGCAAATTTATAAATGTAGGCATTATTTTGAGTGGGAAACCCGTCTCCCACTTGAAAGCGATCACTTGGATCTACCACCAGGACTCTGCTACCGATTCCTTTTTTTTGCCAAATAGTGTCGTTGTCGAATTTCATTTGAAGCAGGGAACCAGTCCTAGAATTATACACACAAAATGTAAGTCCAAGATCTTCAAGCTTTGTTTAAAACATTTATTTCTCAATTTTATTATGCCTACTCCCGACCATTATCCGGTTCTCTTTCGAAATGAAATGACTGAGTGTTGTTGCGGCAAATTCAAAAGAGCTGTGAATGTTGATCGTTAAACGACGTAGAGAATATTTAAAAAGGATATTTTTTATGTTTTGCCACTAAACTAGAAAAAGGCGCATTTATTGTTAAAAAAGTATCTAATTCAACAACTTCAAATCATGGATACTGTCTTCAGCAATCTGTAACCAGACTATCCTGAAAACCAGTGGCGGCGCTTGGATGCACTGGGCCCCCCACTAAAAGAGCCAATTAGAAGCTGCGGAAATTTTGATTAACATCAACTCAAGAGCTGGTAATGATCATTCGAAATTTTGATTATTATCGGCTCTTGAGCTTTGAATGCCCTTAGAAAAATCCTCTTGCGAATCCAAAGTTGACAGTTCAGATTTTGACTATTTCTGGCTCTTGATTGGCAAGAGCCGGTAATAGCTCAGATTTTTATTATCTGTGGCTCTTGATCCATTGGATAATTTCTCTTGGGCCAATTAGAAGCTGCGGAAGAAGAAATTTTGTATAATATCAACTTAAGAGCTGCTAATGATCATTCGAAATTTTGATTACTATCGGCTCTTGAGCTTTGAATGCCCTTAGAAAAATTCTATAGGGTATCTAGAGTTGATAAAAATTCAAATTTTGAATATCATCGACCCTTGATTGGCTCCAGGAGAGTTTTCCAGATAATCAAGAGCCGGTAGAATAGTTCAAATTTTGATTATCTGTGGCTGTTGATCCATTGGATAATTTTTCTCCAGCTAATTAGAAGCTGCAGAAGAAGAAATTTTTATTAATATCAACTTAAGAGCTGCTAATGATTATTTGAAATTTTGATTATTATCGGCACTTGAGCTTTGAACGCCCGTAGAAAAGTTCTCATGCGAATCCAGAGTTGATAAAAGTTAAAATTTTGACTTTAAGCGGCTCTTGATGGGCTCCAGGAGAGTTTTCCAGAGAATCAAGAGTCGGTAATAGTTCAAATTTTGATTATCTGTGGCTCTTGATCCATTGGATAATTTCCCTTGGGCTAATTAGAAGCTGCGGAAGAAGAAATTTTGTATAATATCAACTTAAGAGCTGCTAATGATCATTCGAAATTTTGATTATTATCGGCTCTTAAGCTTTGAATGCCCTTAGAAAAATTCTCTAGCGAATCCAGAGTTGATAAAAGTTTAAGTTATGACTATTACCAGCTCTTGATTGGCTCTAGGAAGGTTTTCCAAAGAATCAAGAGCCGGTAATGGTGCCTTGGTTTGTGCCTGAACACTAAGAATGATATTGAATATTGTAGAGTTAACTCGAGAACCAAATTTAACTTTAAAAAGGCAAATTTCTTGGTAATGTATAGACTTTTCGTATGTAAAAAATATCCTGTATAGTTCAGCAAAGAAATTATCAAGCTTCTCAAACGAAAATATAAACTTCATAAAATCAAAAATATACTAATCTCACTATTGGAGACATAAGTATGTTACTCTTAGGAGCGTTGTCAATTATAAGGTTAAACTTGCTCATTCCAAATACCTCCGCGATATAGAGGCAAGGTTTCAATCAAACCCTAAAATTTTTTGGTCCTTTCTAAAAACTCTAAAAGATTCTCTTGATTTCTTGGAGGAAATGGTCCTTGATGAGAAAACCTATTCAGGATCCCAAGTTGTGGCCGGCGGTTTTGCTGATTTTTTTAAATCGGTAGATATAAATGACGACGATATGAATTGTAACATAACGAGCGTCAAGTCATATTTCTGTAGTAAGCCTATCACTTTTGATGAGACCGAGAGGGCTATTGGGAGAATCAAGGTAAATAGGGCAATCGGCCCTGACGGAATTCCGGCCTATACCTATTCTTAAAGGCTGTGAACAATATCTTTTAAAACCTTTTAATATTATATTCAATTTAATTTTAAATATTTCGAAATACCCTGATATATGGAAAATTCCTAAAATTATTCCTATTCATAAAACTGGAAGAATTACCGCCCAATAAGTAGGTATCATGAGTGCAGTCTCAAAAATATTTGAAAGAATTATTTTTGAGTGATTTTTCGACGATGTCTCAGGTAATCTTGCATCCTGCCAACATGGTTTCTTGCCTAGAAAATCTACATTTACCAACTTTAACAACATTTTGCCAATTTGTTCATGAAGCCATTAACGATAAATCTCAGGTGAATGTCATTTACACTGACATGGAGAAGGCGTTCGATAGAGTCAGACATTGTGTGATATTGGAATATCTTAAGAGCCTAAATGTATCCTCATACCTAGTTTATCTGATCCAGTCATACTTAAATGAGAGATCCCAATTTGTCGAAGTTAAGGGTACCTAGTAGAAAAAAGTGACAATGATGTAGTGACATTTATTTTGAAATTGCTCTTCAAATAGACTCAGGAAAAAATAAAAATGATTTTGAAAAATGTCGTTTTTTTCCGAATATCTTCGGAAGTATTCGGAATTTTTAAAATTTGAAAACGGCATTTTATTGGTCATAAAATTGCGCAACTATGCCATAATTTAACCGAACTCGTATCTCTTATACATAGTTTGCGATATCTCAATGGTCACCCTCGAATTTGGGACACCCTGTATAGAGCAATCGAGAATAGAGTGGTTTAGATCTCCTGGTTCTGAACATTCGCAGATGTCATTATTTCTTAGTCCTATTTTTTTCATATGTTTAGGAAACAGGGCATGCTGGCTTCTTAATCGGGAGATTGTCCTTATGAAATGTCGGTATTTGTTTCTGTGTAAAACCAGGGTTTTTTATTTATTTCAGGAAACATTTCTTTCAAATGAATTCCTTTGTTAGATGCTAGATATTGTTCCTTCCAACTATATATAATTCGCATTTTTGACTTTCTTTATAGATCTGTATGTGAAGGGTAAAAATTTTGGGAAAAGGTTTCAATTTCAGTTGCTTGTTTAGCTAGCCTATCTACGATTTCGTTTTCTAATATCTCTATATGAGATTTGACCCACACTAATTTAACGTTTTGGTTTTGATTTCTAAGGTCATTGAAACTGTTTATGATATTTGAAACAATATAGTTGGAGAGACCTTTGTGGCTCTTGATTTATTGGATAATTTTTCTTGAGCCAATTAAAAGCGGTGGAAGAGGAAATTTTGATAATGTCAACTTAAGAGCTGCTAATGATCATTCGAAATTTTTGATATTATCGGCTCTTGAGTTTTGAATGCCCTTAAAAAAATTCTCTTGCGAATCTAGAGTTGATAAAAGTTTAAATTTTGACTATTACTGGCTCTTGATTGGTTCCAGAAATCAAAAGGCGGTAATAGTTAAAATTTTGATTATCTATGGCTCCTTCATGCATTGGATATTTTTTTTGGAGCAACTAAATACTATCCATATTAGATGCTGTTCTATGCCTGATCATGGAGTCCATGCTGACTTATGGAATTTCTCAAGTAATTTTTCAATATTTTTGATTTACTAAATTCCGCTAAATGACCTTTCAGCGGTGGCAACTGAAAGGAATGTACTAGTTAAGTATGTCAATCGATATTGGTCATTATATTTCTCAATTTTATGTCAAAGCATTTTTATTTTAAAAAAATTGTACCCCTTTGTGTCCGGTCTTCTATGCATATTGCCGCCACTGCCGAAAACATATAGCAGAAGGATTTCCTTTCCATTTCTTTTTATATGAGTCTGCGTATTTGTCTACTGTGGAACAACTAAACTTCACTTCTTGTCTTTCATGGCACAAGTTAAAAATCTGGAAAGCCCCTGATAAAAGGAACCAGCTGGCGCTCCTATTTCTTTTATCAACGATTCAGGATTCTGGTTAGAGTTACAAACTTATCATTTCTAAATGCAGTATCCAGTATCCTCACATTCTATTGTTGTTAAAAAAGATCGTAATAGCGACTAGGTATTCAAGATACGATCTGGATTTTTTTTTAACAGTTTAATGCATAAATTTGAGAAGAAGAGAAGAACCATTTTGCACTAGTTTGTAATAAAAATGTATTAAGGGTAATATATTTTTTTTTTTTTGGAAAAATTGGAAAAAGTGGAGCCCCAGAAAATTGATGAAACGTTCTTCAGTTTCAAAATATTAGCTCCATAGGTATACAAATAGAGTTTTCCATACAATTTGTTCAGTGATGACGCTGAGGGATTTTGAAAAGAATTTAAACTTTATGTTTTCCAATGTACCATGATACAAGGTTGCAGATTTTATTATGGTCGTAACATTCCTCAAATGAACACTAACTCAGATTGAAACTTAGGTACCTAGTTCAAATATAAACAGTAGGTATTTTATATATCTACCTACCTACATTACTCATCTAGAATAGTTATTTATGTATCAAGGGAATTATGAGGGTGTTAATACCCCAGGGCAAAGTTTGTGTCCCGAGGGCCTTTGGCCCGAGGGACACCAATTGCCCATGGGTATTAACACCTGATAATTCCCGTGGTACATAGATAATTTTATATCCTACTGAATTTCTCCTATTTTGTCCATTTTTATAAAGAAATTAACCATTGACTACCTATATGAGCATTCAGGTGCGTTTCTATGTGCCTTGCTGGTACAAACAAGTCATAGACAAGTAGTAGGTACTAGCTTTGTCTATGACACAAGTTCTATTGTTTGTTACTATGGCAGAGGCACTGTAACTATGGCTTGTTATTTATAATTGATAAAGGTCACATTTTGTCGTTGAAACGCGTTTTTGGTGAACAAAAAGCTTATTATAATGGACGAGATAATGAAAAAAGCCGAGGAAGCAAGAAAAACGTTGGTCCCAGCCAAGAGTGAGACTCTATATAATAAAGAATATAGAAAATATATCCACTGGCTGGAACAAAAAGGTATCCCAGCAAAGAATAGTGACGAAACTGTTCTCTTGGCATATTTTCAAGAAATGGTACGGTAACTATTGTTCATTATGTTTTGTTTAGTAAGTAATTGTGCCTTATTTATTGCAGTCAGAAAGTTTTAGTCCAAATTCCTTGTGGACTAAATGGTCAATGTTGAAATCCATGCTATCTATACACGAAAAACAAGATTTTAAAAAAATCAACGAATTTGAGGCCTTTTTGAAACGAAAGAGCAAAGGTTATAGACCGAAAAAGTCTGCGGTATTGTCCCCTCAGCATATCGCCAAGTTCCTCAAAGAAGCCCCCAATGACATGCATTTATTAAATAAGGTAAATAACCTAATTTCTATATTTCTTTGTGTATGTATTGATTACCTGTTTTGCAGATAGTTTTAATAATGGGATATTTTGGAGGGTGCAGAACTCAAGAACTTCTTAATATGAAGCTAAGTGATATAGAGGACCGGGACAAGGTTATGGTCGTGAGTATACCAGACAGTAAAACGGGTATACCAAGGAAATTCACGATTGTTGATGAGGATGAGTTCGTTGCTCTGCCTTTATTGAAATTTTACATGTCATTACGACCTAAGGGTATCGGAAGATTTTTTTTGAACTACCACCAAAATAGATGCACCTCCCAGCCAATCGGGAAAAATACATTCGGGAGAATTCCCAGTAAAATTGCATCATATTTAAAATTGCCAGACCCGTCTTCTTTTACGGGACACTGTCTTCGTCGCACCTCTGCCACTGCGCTAGCAGATGCAGGTGCAACTATGACAAACCTAAAAAGGCACGGAGGCTGGAAAAGTTCCACAGTGGCGGAAGGATATTTAGCCGATAGTATCGAGTAAAAAATCAAACGGCACGGATGCTCTCTACCTTACGATCAGAAGAGGCAGGCACATCAATTCAAATGTGTAACAGCAAAAGCCATACAGAAAAAAAATTAAATTGCAGCAATGGAAATAGTTTCCAGGGCAATTTTGATAATTGTAAATTTATTATTTGTAATAATAAAAATAAAGTTGATAGATTTTTAGAATAAAAGATGAATTGCAGTTTTCAATAAAGCTTTTTTGTCAAAATTTCTATTTTTTCTGAAAGTTCTACCTATTCAAGGTAAAAGCGGGAGTTATAGAAATCCTTAACTCCCTTGGGAGTTTTGATATCCTTAACTCCCAAGGGAGTTAAGACCCTGTTTATGATTATCGTAACCAAGGTATTATATGGTTGTAATAGTTCAGTAGGATATAATAGTTATTTATGTATCAAGGGAATTATGCAGGTGTTAATACCCCAGGGCAACGTTTGTGTCCCGAGGGCCTTCGGCCCGAGGGACACCAATTGCCCGTGGGTATTAACTCCTGATAATTACCGTGGTACATAGATAATTTTATATCCTACTGAATTTACTGTATTCTGTCTATTTTTATAAAGGAATAAGCCATAAATCAAAATTTCTATTTTTTGTCAAAGTGTTACCTATTCAAGGTAAAAGCGGGAGTTATGGAAATCCTTAACTCCCTTGGGAGTTATGATATCCTTAACTCCCTTCCTTAACTCCCTTGGGAGTTATGAAAATTCTTAACTCCCTTGGGAGTTAAGACCCTGTTTATGATTATCGTAACCAAGGTATTATATGGTTTTAATAGTTCAGTAGGATATAAAATTTTTATCATCCCCCAAAATATTTAATTTGGAATATCTAATATGTTTTGCAATATCAGATCAATTCTGAACATATAGTATTACCTTTCAACAAATAGGGTCTTTTCAATCTTCAGTCCTCCCTCTCTAAGCACAGTAATAATGTTCTCTTCCTGATCTTCGCTGGTAAAGTTCAAAATGGCACTACCATTTCTAATGCTTATGGTCATGCCTCCATTGTCCCATTTGAATAACTGACAATTTGCGCATTTAAATGTTATGGCAAGACTTCTAAAGACTTCGGTTTGGGGCACCGAGTAAAGCATGGAGCAGTTGGAGAGACCCATAGCAACATTCACCTAGAAAAAAACTGGGTTAGATATTTTTAGGTATGGTAAAACGAGTCTTACCGATTCAGCCGCTTGTCTGGCATATAAAATTTTATTTTGCAATTCTCCTATTTTTGATGTTACATTATTGAGCTTAATTTGCCCATATTTGATTCCATTGTCATCGATTTGCATATTGTTTTCTAGTAATTGTGTCACTTTTTTAATGGCCTCATTAACTGAATCTCTTGCTTTTCTGATTTCTAAAACAAATTTTTTGAGCATTTTTTTTCACATAAATTTTCAATTCTTACCATTATCAGCTTCATTTCTTGCAATCAAATAAACATCCTTTTCGTTGAAAAGGTCATATCGCACAGTGATATTCAATTCCGAAATATCTTTTTCTAGTTGCCTCATTTGGTCTATAACCTTTGAACTATCCTCTATGGCTTTACGGAGTTTATCTACCAAATAGCCTTTGGAAATAATCTGCCCCTCCAAATTGAGCAGCTGCCGGTTGAGATCATTGTTAAAACGACCACTATCTATAAGGCCTTCTTTGAAATCTTCTACATCACGTTTTTTCAAGTTAAAATCTACAATAATATTTTTTTAAGAATTTTTTTTTTTTGTTCCATTGAAAAAGTCAACTTACAGTTTGAAATATTCTTCATATTAGTGATACGGTATTTTAATCGATCAGACTGACTATGAGCTAAATTTGCTTTATCAATCAACCTATCAGAATCACTAGGATACATGATATTTAGAGCGTCTTCTAATATACCTTTGGTGTCAGCTGCAGTATTTTTGGCTACGGCTATACCATCTAAAATGTCATTATAAGCTCTGCTGGTTTTAATTTTTCTAGTTTCATCTTCTGTAAAGTTTAGGGCTCTGAAAATATAAATATAGAAAATGCAATTGAGAATAGTTAATAGAATGTCTAACCCGATTCTATCATTCACGCTTTTCTGTAGTCTTGTAACGTGTTCACATGCCCTACGCACTAAATCCTCCAAATCAGGACTGTCTTCTTCAAACTGATACAATTTTTCTTCCAAATCCTGCGAGTCACTGAAATCGAAATTTTCCATACTTTCGACAGTTTCTTTGAATTCTTTCAATTTCTGATTTATTAATTTTATTTTATCAGTTGTTTCTTTAATGTTGTTTTTTATAGTATTAGTGGTATTGTCAAGATTTTTGATGTTTAGACTCAATGTTTTTGTGTTGATTCTGTTTTGATCATTCTGAAATTCAGCCACAGCAACTTTGTCTTCTATTTCTCTAGTTATCAAGTCAATTTCCTCTAGTTTTTCGTTGATTTTATCCAAATCATCAAATGGTAGTTCTAGTGGCTCATCAAAATAACTATAAACTTCTTTGCTGATTTTTTTGCAATAATCAAATATTGGGTTGCTATAGTTTTCCATTTCTAAGACTTTCCGTTGGATATTTTCTCTAATTTCTTTAAGAAGGCTATTAGCTTGTCCTACAGCTGCTTCAATATCAACATGCTTTTTGCCAAAATTTCTTAATCTGTCAATCAGGTCATTTATATCTTCATGTAACCTTTTTAGTTCATCACGAAAAATATCGATTTCTTTCTGTTGCTTGATAATTTCATTAAAACCTCCATCAATATCTTTTTCAAATTCTTCAACTTTATTTACCATATTAAATATGGAATTTTCCATTTCATCAATATTGCCTTTTTTTAATAACTTATTAGCTCCATCAAATGTGTAAGTGAAATTATTATGGAGCATTTTGAATTTCGTCCTAAGCCCATCTAGAACTTTCCATGGAGGACTAAGACCATCTTTGAACAAATCTTGAACATCTTCCAAAGATTTCGTTAATCGATCAATATCTTGGAATAAAATTTGTGTACATTCATCACACGCTGTACAAGAACCTTCTTTAATAAATTCCCTCGGATTTTTGCATTGACTGCATTTATCTCCGTGAAAGCCGGGCTTGCAATTGCACATTCCATGGATGTCACACACACTCGAGTAGCTACCATAAAAGTTACAACTACATGGAACACATTTATTGGTGGAGTCTCGATAGAAGCTGTCTTGACACAGTTCACATTTAGTACCCGTATAGCCAGTTTTACAATGACAAATAAATCCGTGCTTCTTGGCAACGCAACTTTCCGCATTGTTTTCCTGCTCTGAGGGACACAAACATGGTTGACAATTGCCAGTGAAATCTTGGTAAAATCCAGTATCACAAAGTTCACAATGGAAACCAGCAGTGTTGTTTGAGCAATTCTGTGAAGTGAATTTTTTGTAATTTAGGTTGAAAAAAAAAAGAGTTGAAATTTAGTTGTTACCTGACAATATCCAGTGTCTGGATCACAATCGCGGCTTCTTCCATTACAATCGCACGGTTTGGCGATACCGATTACATTATCAATCCATGGGGTTTGAGTGACTTCGTATTCCGTCGGGAAATATCGATAATAGCCGTTATTTGGATCCTGACATGACAATCCTGTAAATTCTGGAGTACAGTCGCACTTTTCTATCGAGTGACTTGTGCGGTTATAAGGGATGTACGGTTTAGCTGAATCCAAAAGAACTTCAAAGATTCTGCATGAAAACATTGATTTTTTTAGTCTAAGATTATATAGTTATAAGGAAATTACTTACTCCATATCTTGTCCCTGGATAACTATAGAAGTAATTTTTTGCAATGCTAACAAAAGACACTCTCTGGTTAACGAAATTTGACAGCTTGGTAGAATATTTCCAGAAGTGACTCTCCAGTGTTTTTCGTTCAGTCTCAATTCATTGGAGCTGATATCAGATTTGAGCGACACGCCGTTACCCGTTAAAAAGACACTAAACCGTCCTCCAGAACCGTTAACACTTAGGTAACCATCGTACGATGTGGTAAGATCGCCCATGAATTGTTTTGGGAGGCTGATTGTGTCAGAACTGATCTGTAACTAAATTGTTGAATGGCTGACCTAAATGATTCACTCTGGATACTTACTGGTTCATTATTCTCAATGGTATTGTCCAATTTTTCATAACGGATTTTGTCCCAATTATACTTTGTATCCACGCATTGGTTACTTCTTCCGAAACAAAAGCATTGTTTGCATCCTTTTAGGTTTTCCTTGGAAAGTCCAAAAGTGCCATTTTTGCAAATGTTACATTTTGAACCTTTGACGTTTTCCTATAGAAAAAACAAATATCAATTTAGTGCTTCTTATTCACACCCCAACAAATAACTATTTATTATTTTTCAAATATGGATGTTCGCATTGTTCTCTCTTAATGATATTAAGCTTATGTGCACACTGATCCGGATAGAATCGGCTTGAAATGAAATAGTTCTGCTGAGAGAAATATCTCAACTCCTGATCTTATTTCAAAAATGAAACCCTACTCCATTCCAGCGCTGGCAGCGCTACCTACTTTAAGTTTAGGGAGGTGAGCTTTGGAGAGTACACGTAATTATCTCACCTTTAGCAAAGCAGATATATCAGTATACTCGTGGAATCTCAGGAGACTCTTAAGTATCTTTTAAGAAACAACGTGGTTTCTTGAAGAAAATTGAAACAGCGCCAGGCCCTGGAGAAATATGTGGAGAATTGATAAAGTTTGGGAGCAGTGAACTTCAAAAGCACAAAACTATTCCAAACATGCATAGATACGCATGAAGTACCGGAAGAATGGAAAATATGCTTTTCAACAACGGTATATAAGAAAGGAGACAGAACGGAGCCAGACGAAAAGGCCGGTTTTAGCGCAGTGGAGATCAACTTATTTAGCCTGACCCCATAGGTGATAAAAAAGAAACTAGCATATGACCATAGAGAAACATATGACCAAGAACCTCATTTTCTATTTGTGGTTCTAAAAAAGGCATACCCATATGACAGTATCTCTCTAATTAAAAAAACTATGAGAAGCATGAGAAAAGATCAATATCAACCTAAAGCTAATTGAGGTAGGTAGTTAAAACGCTCTACAGTGGGAAAGACCAAGATTAAACAGGGTAGCATAATCAGCAATAGCTTTACAACAAATTAAAGACAAACCAGGGATGCTGCATCACATCACACTTCAAAATATATACTTGGAGTTTTGGGAACAAGCGAATAACGGGTGGAAAAATATATGGATCAGAGGAACCGCACAAATGCTGGAAGCAGGGGAAATGGACTTTTGGAAGAGAGCGGCAGTAAGGTCAAAAATAGAAATGATAACAAACCAGAGAATTAGAGAAATTATGAACGTAAGACACACAATAGTAGATGATGAAGGAACTGATTTGGTTTGTTACAAAGAATGGCAGATACGAGAATATCCATCCAAATCTTTGAGTGGAGCCAGGGGCCCCAGGGGGTATATTCCCAAACAAGAACTATGATGTTCTTGACTCCTCGTTGGTTAATACTTGGAAAAACATTTTTCACAACTTACATTGCCAACGGAAATTTAGACCGTGCAATTTAAAGTCGTTAGGGGTATTTGTCCTTGTAGTAGCTGTTCCTAGCTCGTCAATATAGTTCAATATTGCTTGAGCAGGGAGCTAATAAGCCTATATATCTTTCATGATGAGTCTAAATTGAACCTTTTCACAACTCACATTACCAATGGAAAATTAGACCCTGTTCCAGGCCTTTATAGCGGGCCACCACATGATAACCTAGATTATTATGGGTCGAATTATCACTGTGTATATATCCGATTGATGATTTTGGGTTTCAGGCCCCAATGTTGCTGAAAGCTCTTTTACCTCAGTGCGTTGTTAGCTCTCTTGATTTTGCTTCTTAGATGTTCCATGTCAACCTCCATATATAATGTTCCCCAGATTTCCAGATATTTCGTTGACCATAAGCATCTAGGCCTTCGATCCACAAGGTTGACCTGTTCCGCGGTCCGGTCTTTGATGAGAATAACCATATCCTGCAAGGCTGGCTGACAGCGAGGGTTGTGTATATCCGCGAAGTGGAAGTCATGGATAACGCCCTCTCTAAATTCTTCCGTCCGATCAGTCTAACTTCGTTTGTTTTAAAAACTCTAGAGCGCATTCTAAACTAGCATATTAGGGATAAGATCTTGGGACAGTATCCCCTAAGTCCTCACCAATATTCTTATCAGGTTGAAAAGTCCACTGATTTGGCTTTGAACAATTGAACAACCTCGTAGGAAGGATCAAGCAGTCTTCAAATCAGGGAGAAATTGCTTTGGCAGACTTTCTCGACATTGAAGGAGCGTTCAACAATGCCCTAACTAGATCCCTATACTCTAGCATTGAGCATAGGGGAGAGGGGTCCACAGAATCATCTGCAACTGGATCAGAAACATGCTGGAAAACAGACGTATTACGATGTCCCTACAGGGGGAGACGGTCTAGTTCAGCGGCTGGGGGTGCTCTCAGGGCGGGGTACTGTCCTCCTTACTGTGGTCCCTCTTGGTTGACTTTCTGCTGGGTGGACTCTCCGATGAAGGTTTCGTTTTTCAGTTTTATGCGGACGATCTAGTTATTGTAGTAGAGGGACAAATGAAGAAATCATTTCCGGTATCATGCAAAGCTCTCGAAACATGGTTACGAAATGGTGTGAGGTGGAACAGTTGTCTGTAAAACCCCGCAAAACAGTAGTAATTCCTTTTAGTAAAAGGAGGAAGCTAGACAAGCTTCGTTAACCAATTAGGTATGGCGAATCAATTCCATTTGCGGAGGAGGTTGAATATTTGGGTGTTATACTCGATAAAAAATTAACCTGGAACTCTCATCTGAAGAACACCATCAATATAGCCAGATTATCCCTCTGGAATTTCAAGAAGATTTCTGGCAGGTCTTGGGGCATGGCCCCCAAGCAGATCTACTCGATTTATGAAACAGTCGTAAAATCCCAATGGTCATGGATGGAACGGTGGTCTGGTGGACCAAAGCTCTCCAGACAACGGCTAGAGCAAAGCTAACTAGGACTTAGCGACTGGCGTGCTTGACTATTATAGACGCCACGTCAACCACGCCGACCGACGCTCGCGATGGAGACTATCCTTAATATACCCCCTATACACATTTGTTTGGAGTGGGAGGCGAGGAATGTTTCCCACCGACTACTGTCGTTAGAAAACCCGACAAATGGTGGAAGGATCTGGGATCACGCGGCTCTGCTGCGTGAGCTTAGAAATCACCATCCAATCAAATCCATTTCTACGATAATAAGCATGCACAAGCCCTATTAGGCCTTCTTCCCGGAGAGAGACGAATAGAAAGAGGGTTCTCTCCTTTCTAGAGGCAAGCATTGTCTTATACAAGGATGGCTCCAGAAATCCTAATGGTGTTGGAGCTGGAGTCTTCAGCAGTAGACCGAGGATTGAATTCTCAATCAACCTTGGGATGAATGCTACTATATACCAGGCAGAAGTTTGTGCCCTTGTTCTGTGTGCCAGAGAGCTTATTGATCGTTCCACCACAAACAAAAACATATTGTGTCAGATAGCCAGACGGCGCTAAAAGCTCTAGGCTCCTAACGGATTACCTTAAAACTGGCGAGGAACTGCATCGAGTCCCGAGCACCAACAACAGGTTAACCTAACTCTTGGTGCCGGGGCATCAGGGGGTAGCAGGCAACGAAAAAGCCGACGCCCTCGCTAAAAAAGGGAGCGGAAGCCGGCTTCATAGGACCGGAACCGGTTCTAGGCATCACAAAATCAAATGCTAAAGATACTATTTCCAGCTGGGCAAAAAGCAAGAGTCTCACTGGAATAGCGCTGATGGTCTTATCCACTCTAGAAACTACATAAAGCAGATCCAGGAATCGAGCGGAAAAGACCTGCGCATTCTCACCGGACTGCTAACCGGCCCCTGTCGTCTCAACTACAACTTAAACAAGGTTGGTCTGTGCAGTTCTCCGGACTGCCACTTTTGCCGTTCACAACCATAGACTTTATCAAGATCTGTGTCTTGTACGACAAACTACAACCATCTAATGATTGTTAGAGGTATGAGCCACAATAGACCCAGCGAGTGTCGCAGTGGAGGGCTGGTTAAACGGCCCACACATTTTAAACCTAACCTAACCATCCCGCTGGGTTCAACTCCTGCAGAAGTCCGTCTACCACCAGCCAGAAAAGGATATCTGGTGCCTTCGTTCTTGGTACCAGGCTACCATGGCTTCTGCGAAGTCATTGTTCATTGTTGCTCTATAACAGTGCAACTTGACAGGCTCCCACTATGGTGTGATCAGTGCCATGCCTATACACTGGTAGGCATATTGATTGAAAAGACATCTTGTCAAATGCGCCTCTCGATGTCTTTGGTGGTATGTTCTCCGTTTAACGCTTCCTTCTATATTTCAACCAGGTGTTGAACCGTCGTTTCAGCAGATTTCCCAGCACTTTGATGTTGGTGCGAAAGGGAACTGCCCCAATGACTTTTCTCAGACGTGCCGATCTATTACTCGCTCTATAACTGCAGAAAGATCGTAAGGCTGTTTGGACGAAATGATTTCGCCTGCATGAAGTCCGACTTTCCCGGTTGAGGAATGAACATTACGCCAATGCTTTACAGGCCCTTGATATGCATCCTATAGCCAAACGTGTCCTGACTGAAGATCTATGCGAGATTCGGGAAAGTGCGTCGCAAAGAGGAGATCTAACGCCTCCTTTGCATAAGCAGCTAATACTCCAATCTTCGTGTATAGGTATTGTTTTGCGAACCTTTCTGCGGTGGTTTTCAATGTTTAAGTTCCACCATTGCGTTTTGCCATTCGTTGCTCGCCTTTTGGATTGGTGGGCAGCTAGCTTCAAATTAGTTTTTCCTTGAGGCAGTAACTAGCGGTCTCAATCTCCCTTTCATTGACGCGACGAGACTTCATCTGGCCCAGTCTGGCCACTGGCCGCCAGATAGCCCCTCTCTATAGGAGTATGTGTGCTTGGGGCGTCTGTTTCAGGAACTTTTAACGTTTCCTCGAATCTGAATGTGTCCGTTGTCTGACATGGAGTCTCTTCTTGAAATCAACACTACATATGTGTTGCTCCTGGCCAGTTGTCTGCACAGGAGTGTCTAGGGAGCCTTTCTGAGCCATAGATTGGCCTGGCGATGTTTTATTAAAGAAAAATTAGGAAATAACGTCATAAAAAAAAACAAGCAAAGTTCAAACTTGAAAACAGGCCGATACCTATATGAACTTAAAAAATTAGAAAACGTGATAGACGAAATAAAAGGCAATGAGCACCTGAAGTAACTGTGGTTTATTTTTTCCAATGGTTATTGAAGAAAATAACTTTCCCTGTTAATGAAGAAAATAAATCATGGAGAAACTACAGAAATACTAACACTGATGACTGATGACTGATGGAAATGGGAAATAAAAGAAGACTCTAAGGCTGTCGTAATACAAATCATTCGTTTAGGGTTCATGCTACCCACCATTTACCAGCTAAACTTAAAATGGTGCCCGCGAAAAATGGGGCCTCTTAAATGGGACACTGGCCTAACAGCGGAGGCACGAGCCGACTTGGGTTGGGCCCATTCAATTTGGGGCTTCTCTGATAAGGAGCACATGAGCCCGGTGTCCACTGTGACGTCACTTCCGGTTGGGAACCCGTTTTGGTTATCTACTACTTGCGACATATTTTCTTTTTTATTAACACAAGGCATTTGATATGTTTTAGCCTACAATTAGAATTAGATATTCTACGTAGAGGGTCATTGATTATATTCGAGCCCATACCTACAGCCTTTACTATTTAAGGTATGGGTAGGTATGTAGGTATGGGCTTAAATATAATCAAAGACCCATTATACACTCGGCTTAGATTTTAGAGACCTACATGATTCATTAACAATCTCCCTCGGAACAGCTGTTGAGGTGAGGTAGATTGTGTATTGGATGCGATGAGGGGGAGTAGTTCAATAAATGGATGTTTATATAAGGAGAAACAGTTGGAGCAAGGAGCGATATACAAAAACAGAAGATAATAATTACTAAGGTATCAAAAGAATTATTATTAAGAAAAAAAAAACAAGGGAGCCAGGGTCACAGACGTCAATGTTTTTGTTTATTCTCATTTTTTGGATATAGGGACCGGGCACAAATTGAAATCCGCGACCCCTAGTGGCAGTTTTCATAAGAATTTGTATAATAAACAATTGAGCTTCTGACAAAATTCCAATATACTCTAACCTATGGACGAGACTATGCGTTGTTTTCTTATTTTGTTTACTTGCCATTCGTATTTCAAAAAATGGAGTTGGGAATACATTTTTGTTTCCAAAATATGAAATGTATCTACCACGAAGCTGAAGACTGAATAATTAGGGGTCAAATAAGGAATCAGTCTTGCCATTCAATTTAAGTTTGTGCAAGCAAGTTCATGGACATGACGGAACGTCCATCCTGGCCTTAAAACTTTATTGGACTTCTGTCAAAAGCCCAATTGTTTATTATGCAAATTCTTTTCGAAACGGCCGCTAGGGGAATTTGTGACCGGCGCCTATTGGATAGACATTTTTCTTTTCGCCGAGACCGGCCAACACCGAATGCCGAGAATGTGCTTTTCCACCGAAATACACATACTATTTTTTCTGCGATCGGTTAAATATCTGTTAAATGTTTGTCTTTTTGTTCCAATTGTTCACCAGTACGAGAATCAATTTCCCGGCCTAGGCCGGAAAAGTGATTCCCGTATTGTTATTCATTGATTCCTTAGCAACTATTGAAACGTAATTAAAATACCAGAATATTGGGTTTTGCGACCTCTGTAAACCAGTCAAAAATGCTGACATTTCTTGTCAATCGCAGAATAAGTTTGTTTGATCAACCAAGGCTAATAAAAACAATAAAAGGAACATAAGCGCTTCACGCTTCACAATGTATACGATAATTGTATATAGGGAAACTCTCCTCATCTCAGGGATGCTATTTCTAGTACAATAGGGTACTTGCATGGAAAATTAAATTGATAATTGTTTTTTGCAAACTGTAGAAAATCGAAAAAAAATAGTTACTTTTTTTTAATTTCACCCAAATATGATTATTCCGGAAGTTATACAAATATTAAGTTTTTTATATATAGATATACTGAGCATGTGCGACGTCACAACTCACAACGTATTATACCTAAGTTATGACGTCGGAAGGACATTTCAAAGCGTTGTATCTCCGTCAATTTTTGACTAACATGAAAAAGAAAAAACACGTGTTAACTTACTTTTCATGGACTATAGAAATCAGCAATAAAAAAATTTGATGCAAGGGGCCTATTGTACTAGATCTAGCACAATCACGTTTCACCTAGTACGCTAGTACCTCTCTCATAAATCTAGTACAATTTGGATTACGAGTCGAGTGTCGCTCTTCGCTCTGTAGGTATACCGTACCTGAGTTCTAAGCTGTACTCTGTACTTGTGGGATGGGTTTCACGTTCCAGGTCCCACTGCGGTGCGGCTAAAGCCAAACAAGAAATTGGCGTTTCGAATAAGAGGCAATTTTTGGCGAGGATATTCAAACATAATCTGATTATGCTGGGTTATGTGATGCGTCAAATGTGTCATACTTCTCTAACTCCCTCTCCATCAAATTCTGGGCCTGCGAGTGTCGTCACTATCAGCAGAAAATAGCGATGATGTCACCCGCAGACCTCGATCGGATACTTGCGATTCAGGCTATGTTAGTGAGTTAATTTTTTCGTCGATTTTAAATGTAGAAAAGGTGATTTTCGATCTGTTCTCACAGAACAAATTAAGTGTTCTTGATCCTCGAGTATCCCAGAATTTGATGGTGAGGGAGTTTTTTATTCTGTGACCTGACGTGTTTCATGTATCCGTGGTTATTCGGTTATTCAGCGGATCATGGTAATCGGTAGTCGATTTATAACTAAATATGTAGAAATTTATTTATTTCTATCATTCAGGTGATTCAAGGCCGGTTTCCCAATAGCGAGTCACCTCTAGGTTAAGGATAACTAGGTAAATATTGCAACTGGACACGTTTTTTACCCTAGAGTTAAAACCAACTCGCAGCTGACTGAGGTGATTCGCTATTGAGGAACCGACCCTAAAACAAGTGATATTTACCCCCATTTAGCAGAGTCTACATTTGTATTCAAATTTCAAAATTTGATGCGCTTTCAGCTAGTACACAATGTCGCCAATCTAGTACAATTATTCCCTACTTTCTGGTACAATTTTTTTAGTGCTGATAGCATCCCTGCCTCATCTCCTATTAGAGCGGTGAGCTTTCAAATTGCAGAGGAGAGTTGTTTTCAATCACATAATGATCGCAAGAGAACATCCTTACCCTTAATGCTGGAGGCTAGAGACGCATGGATTATGCATCAATAAATTTGAAAATTCTTACCTTACAATTGCAGCTACCATTCTCGTTGCATTGACAATCCCCATTTTGACATTCACTCTCCAGAGTACCGATAGAATGACATAAACATTTTCTGCAATTTGGATATCCGTAATATCCAAAAGCACACCTGTCGCATCTAGTATCTTCATAGCCGAGTTTACACGAACAATTTCCAGAAATTTTGTCACATTGTAAGGAATTGGAGCCAGATTGGGAGCAATTACAAGCCTTCACAAAAATATTGACTGATTAGTAAAATTAGCTTTTTTTTTTTGTTTCCAATTACCTTGCAGCCTATCAAAGGTTCGTAGCCCCACGAGTTCAAAGCACAACGTTCACATTCTTTGCCGATGGATAGGGGTGGACACAGACATTTGCCACCTTTACCACACACGTGCCCTTTTCTATAGCAGGGTTCACATTCTAAAATTACACAATTAAAAGAAAATACATTATTACGTGATGGCCTTAATAATAAAATTCTTGTCTTGGTCACGTAATAGCATCATTACCATTTACGAGCACACTTAACAATCCATTTTATTGTCAAATGGCTGATCAGTGTCAACTAAGTATTTTTTCGTGATCTTTGTAAACATGATTTTCTGCGATTGTAAAGATCTATTAGTGATCTTGTTGTTCTAGATCGAGGCTATTATTTATGGGTGGCTGCTGAGGTTATTATTTAGAGATCTTTGATTGAAAGCTTTCTGGGCATAGATATAGGAAGTTTAAAAGTCAATAAATGCAATTTCGTTTGAAATTGCTGATAACGAGCTTTGAATGATGCATAGGATTGACTTTAATTGGCCACAGAACTGATCTTGATCGTATTTTGTTTTTTGAGTGCTCACAATGGGGTAGCCGCAGTAATAGGAAATTTATAGATTAAATAATGTAACTTATTCTTACGTATGCATCCAGTTTCTACAGTTCCATAGTAATCGGGAAGGCACTGATCGCAATTTTGGGCAGTGACTCCAGGTCTGCAGTTACACTGTCCAGTTTCCTGATTGCAAATGCTGTCTATTGAACCGATTTCGTTGCAGTGGCATTTTATACAGTCTTTTTTCAGGGTTTTCCAGTAGCCAGGCTATAATGAAAATTGCAAAACATAGTACATTTTCACAATCAATTGAGATTTAGCTGTTTTAAAGCAAATTAAGCTTCTTATATTTATGGTTTTCGAGTCAATTTACAAAAAGTGGAAATTAAAATTGTGTAAGCTCGAAAATGAAGTATTTTTTTGAGGAAAAATTACCTTGCAAACATCACAACTTCTGCCTTCATAATGCGCTTTGCAGATACAGTTACCATTTGCGGGATCACATGAGGAATATTTAGAGCCGTTGGGGTCACAATTGCAAGCTGTAACAGAAAAACATTTCAACTTCACTAAAAAAAATCAGTCCATTAAAATTTAAAAATAAACCGTCGAAAAGCAATTTTTCGTTGCAACCATCTGCATAAAGTTTAAAATGCATGAAGACGCGCCGAGACGATCGACTTTTAAAACAAATAGATTAAGTAATTAACGAGGAATTTCAATTTGTTATTTATCGTCAAGTTAAATCACACGCTGAGAACCGACACCTATATTTAAGTGGCATTATTTATTTTGTAGTCAACTTTAAAGTGCCACCTCTTATACCTATACGTTGTAATTATCATTCGAAAAGTGCGTTTATTATTTATTGAGTTATACGTATAGCATTTTTGCATGTATTTTGATAGAGTTAACTTAGAGTTTTGGCCAACAAGATTTTGTTTTAAAGAGTTGTGTCGACTCATACTACTGAAAACTCTTATTTATTTCATACAGAAAAGTACCTATTTACACACTTGCCAAAATACATGTAAGATGTTTGACAACTAAGTACCTACCTACTTGTTTTCTTGTTTCTAAAGCATTGGGTTACTTAGTTTTCACTTCCAATCTCTATAAAGTAAGAAAATTGAACATATTTTTTTTGAAACCTAAAATTGAGATTTTGATGAAATTTTTGCTTTCCAGATTTTTGATTTACTCTACTAGAACCATATTAATAGTTACCATGGACTACTTTGCCATCTGGTTATAAATATTTCAATCTTACCAGGATGTGGTATAATTTCAAAGGTATTGTACAAGAAAAGTGGAAAAAAAAGGTACCTTTGGGGTATTAGGTATACCTAATCTACGCAATAAGGACAATTGAATTACTAGCATTTTATTACTTTTGTATGTAGTTAATTCTGTTCGTGTTTTGTAGTTATGTTTGTCACTGCCTATAATTTTATGAAATAAAATAGCGGGACTACTAGTATGTGGTCACTGAGATGAATCGGTTAGAAATTTTTGTTGTTCAAATTTGCTTTTTGATATTGTGGTCCAGTGGTCTTGCTGATTAATTTTAGCTGGCGCCTAAATTCTTTTTTGATTTTTGATGAGTCTACTCAACTGATTAAAGTAGGTACATGACGAAGTGAAAAGTATGCAGTTTTTAGTGTTCATTTGGACTCCTAGGAATTTTACCTTTGTTTTATTCGAGGTTTTATTAGTTCATGTCTTCTGCGGTGTCTTCCATATTTCTAAGAGTAAAAAGCATTTTATGTATGATTTCAGCTTATTAGTAGCCTGTTTGTAGCGAACCAGATTTCAGCTTCTGATTGTGTTTGTTCTGTGATTAATTTTATGTTTTTTCTGTCTCTTGCTGTTGTTATGATTGTTGTGTCGTCGGCAAACAAGGTAAATAAATCTAGTTATATTAATGGGTAGATCGTTAACAAAACCCTAATCTCCATCTTTTTTTTTTTTAAATCCTAATCCGTCTACACCGGCTTATTGTTTTCTGTCTTTTGAAACATATTGTTTTAGATTTATACTGTTGTATTTTGATTTTCTTTAGTATCCCAATATTATTATCTTTAACCGATAGTTTTTCTCTCCGTCAAATTTGTGATTTGTTGTGCAAACGCTTCCCCATAACTTTGGATTATGTTGGGAGAACTAAAAAAGGGATATATAGTTAGAGATGTACCTCCTTCCTACTTCCACTTCAGAAATTGATTTGATTAACTGGGTTTTTTTTTTAAATCAGGAAGCTTGCTTTCTCTTTTGCATTCAGTTGTTGAACGTTTATATTTGCTTTTTTTTCCTTTGATTGTGTTCCTTGCTTCAATAGGGATGACAGTATTTTTTAGATAGCGCATTCACCATCTGCAAGAAGTATGGTAGGTACTGATTACTCCATTTGCGTCACAAACTCTATATTTTATACATATCTAAGATCAAACTTTGGTTCGACAACTGAAGAAAAGATGGTAAAAGCAACATAAAATTAGTAAATTACACCAACACAACAAAATAAACTTTAATAATTAAATACTGGGAAACATTCACAAAAGTGAGTTTAGCAATTAGGAGAACCAAAAAAGAAAAATGAGAAAAATTTATGACAGACATGGAACTCAACAAATCACGAAAAACATGAAAAAGATCTCTAAACAAGTTCGCCCAAACCCGAAATTCAAAAAGATATTGGAAGAGTTTGACACAAATTTCTGAAACTTACAATATGAAAAACACTGACGATGCAAATACTCGATTTCAGGAAATAGAGGAAGAAATAGCAGAGGAAAAAGTTGAAAATAAAAAACCTGAAAGATAGAAAAGCGCTAGGAAACGACGTCTTTAATAAATGTTCAAAATATAGTGGCGGTAAAGTAATCACAATAGCTATTCACATTACAAGTGCGTTTATGAACATGATTGCACACGAGTTTTGTACCTAGTTGTGTGTTTGTACAAAGTTTTATCTACAAGCGAAAAATAAGAAAATGTTGTTCTATTATACCCTTACATGTTTAACTATGACATTTGTCCATAGAATAAGGTTTATAGTGGGTATAGAATGGACAGTCCCGTTATACGGGTCGGATTACCATTTGTGGCGCCATCTGTTGTCTATGAAATGAGCTCATCCCATTGTAGCAGCTTGTAGAGCAGTTTGCTTCTTATTTTTTTTTAGATTTGCTTTTTATTTATTTTATAATAAAGACACAATTTGATACAAATTTAACAAATAACGGTTTATTACAAAGAAAGAAGAAAATTATGTTGGCTTCTCGAAACTTGTCAACAAAGTCAACACTTAACAACACAGAATTAAATAACAATAATAGCCTTTACACTAAACATAACACTGTGAAAGTTCACAAATACATACAGATAACGCTCCATCATTACGAAACACTTTTTCAACGAACAGAAATATTAAAGCAACAATAAAGGTGGGTTCTAACAGACATTTAATTTAATTTAGCATTTAATATAATTTAATTTAAAAAGTTCACTATACAATACCATATGACGGTGTTCATGCAAAATTTTAATTTAAGACATAATATAACTTAATTTAAAAGTTGGCCAACTTTTATCTTTCAAAATTAAATTAAATTAAATTTGGAGTTGATCATTGATTTTCATCAGTTTGATAAGGCAGATGACGGATAATGACATTTTTCTGTATCAGTTAAAAAATTACTGTATGAACGCCACAAAGTAAAATTACATTAAATCTTAAATTATGTTATTATAAAATTAAATAAAATTTCTGTTAGAACCCAGCTTAAGAAGCACAACGTTTTCCAGTTCATCGTTTTGTCATCATTTGTCATTTCATGAATTTATGTCGGTTCCGGAGATACCTTGGAGATACAATCAACAACGCGTACGCACATCAATTGATAGCGCCTCTACCGGGCATGAAACAAGTTTATCATCGAACCAAGTGGTACATTTGAAGATCGCGGGGCAGTCATTTGTCACATCACAAAAACTAGGTTGGTTGTTTTATAGATTCATAACCTAGTTAATAACTCATAATACTACTAGTTGTGAGTCTCATAAAATAACTCAAATACTAGAAAAAAAGTTATGTAAAAACGTCTTAACTAAACGATTTACCAATTTCACTCCGCAATTGCACAGTGGTTTCCAAACTGTTATGGGGCCTGTATAATTTTTTCAATTCTTCCAGTTTCTCTTTTCTCACAATGACCCGTTGCGTTGCCAGCGTGGAAATACATTTTGAAATATTATACTTTTTTTCCCAAAATCACCTCTAACTTGGTTCGCCACACTGTCAAGAATTTTTCTATTTTCGAAAATTTATTTTCGAAAATCTGATTTTATTATACTTTTTTTCAAATTTTTTTGTTGATTGCCTAAAAGTTTTTTTTTTTGATCCGAGGGGGATTTCAGTAGCGGAACTGTGTACACTAAATTTCCACTTCTAACAGAAATTACCACAAATTACCAGTAATTACCTCCAAATTACTATTTTTTTCCTGTATTACTTTTATTGCCTCAGGGATTACCACTCAATGCCACTTAAATTACCACTTATTACCTCTAATTTCCGCTAAATACCAGTAATTACTACCCTCATTACCACTAATTGCCACTAAAATTATCATGAAACGCATTACGCAGCAACACCACGACTCCGAAGGAGGAGTGGTGTTGCTAGTAACGCGTAACACGTCGAAGAAAAAAGGATTCCAAAATCCTGCAAAGCAAAAACCAAAGTTCCAGCTTCTAGAAACTGGATAAAAATCATTTGATTGATGTTCAAGGAACAAATCAAGATGTTAAAAGAAGAGCAAATCAAGATGTTGAAAGTTGAAAAAGACAGACACTTAAGGAGGCATTCCAACATGTCTCGAAAAATAAAGGATTCTAAAATTCTGCAAAGCAAAAACCAAAGTTCCAGCTTCTAGAAACTGGATAAAAATCGTTTGAATGATGTTAAAGGAACAAATCGAGATGTTCAAAAAAGAGCAAATCAAGATGTTGAAAGTTGAAAAAGAGAAGCACTCAAGGAGGCATTACAACATGTCTCGGAGATAAAAGAATTCCAAAATCCTGCAAAATTCAAGTTCTATTTTCTAGAAACTGGATAAAAATCATTTGATTGATGTTAAAGGTGCATATCGAGTTCACCAGCGACTTCAGAACATTCCGACTCTATTTCGAATTCCATCTAGAAGACGAAAATATGACAAAAAAACGAAATTTTACTCTTTGCAGTCATACTTAGTAAATGTTTGGTTAGAACGATCGTACAACAACTCGTTCACCAGACACAATCGAAATCTTAGAGATTAAACGAAATCTGACAACCTTGTATTGAAACTAGCCATAGAGAATACACATAACCTCCAAATAAATCGGCAAATTCCCGCTTCAAAAATCTCTAAGCTCCTCACAAATTTTTGCATAGTTGGCTCGGTATTTGGCACCATCTAGGATAGGTGAAAATCTAGAAAATTGAAACTAGAGAAACAGAGAGACGGGAACACATAAACACCCAAATATTTGTTGCT